CAAAAAATCTCAGAGGTCTTATTATGATTTTACTTCAAGAGAAAAGGTGATGATGAGCCAGCTTATATTCAGATTAACTGTGACTAAAGAGAAGCTTGATCAACATTAACACAAGCTAATAAGAACCAAAAATCCCTTATTTCTGATCTCTTATTCCAGGTGAAAGCTGAGTCATCTTTTAGAATGAACTACACTGCTCAGTATGGCATTCTAAAGAGGTTCTAGGTCATTGCTTCTTTAGAAATAAGATAGTGGAATGAAATCTATATATATCAAACAATGCCCTATTTTTCTGGGACAAGAGAGAACGTGAGTTTCAAAGACTTCACTATTGGAGTTGTATGTTCAAATGAAATATATATGTTTATGCACACATAGCTGACCCTTGAACAACATGGCTTTGAACTTACACATGGATTTCTTCTCCCAATACAATGTAATAGCGCCTAAGGCAATCAGTATTTAAGTTTTGAGGAGTCAGAAGTTATGCTCAGATTTGCAACTGTGGCGGGGGCACTCAGTACCTTAACCCCTGTGTCGTTCAAGTGTCAACTGCACTTGTATATATAAATATGGAGAGAGAGAACAGTATATAAATAAATAAACTTTCAAGTCTTTTCTGAGGCTTCCCCCATTTGAAACTTTTTATCTTCAGGACCACTCTAAATGGTGGTGGTTTAGGCTCGGAAATAATTTTTTTCCAACTTACATGTTTATATTTAGTTCAAAGCATTCCATTTCCATGGGTAACGGTACCACAGCTTTTCCCTCACCTTCAAGGAAAGAAAGCTACTCACAAATGCTTTTCTAGGTTCCCAGTGCTCTGGAAGGCAGTCACAGGGATTTTTATAAAAAGCCAGAGCAGAGTGATTTAGGTCTCATTATGCCAAAGAGGAAGGTAGACACCCATTTTAAGTCTTTTGTCCACCCCAAATGTGGACACCATTGTTCTGGGCCATTCCCATGTACCACACACCTTCTGCTGTCTCTTAGAACACACAGCTCCACTCAAAGTGGCTTCTTTCAAAGAAATAGTGGAACATGGGTTTGCTTTTGGGCTGGGTCAACTCTCCTAGGGATCTTCTAGAGAGAAGGGAGGCAGTCAGCCCCTGAGAGACAAGAGCATGGAGAGGGTAGGAGTAGGGGCTTTAGACCCAGACATCCTATGTTGAAATCCAGGTTCTAGGGTTTATGATCTTGGAATGTCAGCAAGTTATATAACTGCTCATGCCTTTGTTCCTTCAACTGTAAAACGAACAAATAACGATACTCAGCAGATTGGTTTGCTGTGAGGATTAGACATGTGCACAGAAAATGCCTGTGTGCCTATGCCACACACACAGGACCTGGCATGTAGTAAATGCTCAATAAATGCTAGGGAGACTGTAGGTCCTGATTCCACGCCCAGTGGGATTAATCTAGGTCCCCAGTCACTCATGGGAGTTGTGATCACTTGCCAGCTGTTGGGTAGAAGATATGGTTTTTTTCCCCAATTCCATCGCCTGAAACAGAGTTACCTAAAAAGTCTTATTTAGCAGAACCTAAAATTTAAACCTGCGCCATAGTCAAAAACCTGAAGCACAGCAGGCTTTAAATGTAATCTCATTAGGGGCACTTGGGTGGCTCAGTGGGTTGAGCGACTGCCTTAGACCCAGATGGTGATCTTGGGGTCCTGGTATTGAGCCCCCAGAGCCCCTGTGTCAGGTTCCCTGTTCTGCGGGGAGTCTGCTTCTCCCTCTGACCCTTCCCCTGCTCATAAGCGTGCACACAAGCTCTCTCTCACTCTCTAATAAATAAATAAAAATTTTTTAAAAAATGTAATTTTGTTAAATGGAAATAAAGAAGAAAAATATTTAGAAAGGATCTTAAGTAATTGATAGATTCCAATGAGTTGAGGTTCTTTTAAGTCAGACTTGTATTTTTTGACTTTTTTCTAGTGTGTGTGTTTAAATTCATGCCTCTTTTTTGATAAATATAAAAACTTTATGGTTTCTCTTAATGCTATTTAAAACTTGACATTTTCACAAAATGGACCAAAAGCAAATCTAAACAATGTTATTTTAAGAATATACTTGTTCAAACTACACATGGGCTTTATCTCTAAGAAACTGAGTAGGTGCCCTAGTCCCTTCCTGGAAATCACTGAACTGACCAAAAAGCAGAATTGTACAGCCTCACTGGAGGTTGCTAGTTTGTCAGGATAATTTTGTTATAGAAAAGTTTTTTTGGTTTAGTCTATGCAGCTGAGAGCCCTTGATCCTACATGACCCACATTTATCCTCAGAATTGCACATTTGGAAACAAGAATTTTGAAACAATGAAAGATTTACTACCTCCACCTATGGTTTACCCACTGAGAACAGTACAGCACTGAAGGCAGAGTGACCAGATTGGATCACTGTGGGGCTATGATCTGACCAGTTCCCAAATAATTTCATGATGCCATTAGAAAGGGAAGGGTTCACAACAGTGGTTAAGGGAAGAGCAGTCTGGGAAGTGGGAGGGCTTGGTTCTAGAAGAACCAAGACACCTTATGTTACTGGAGCCATTCAACAGAACTGGACAAAGATTCAGTTAACAGAATTGGTGTAAAATGCAAGCTTAACCTTGCAATAAGACAAAAGCCTAGCTGGGAAACTCGAAGAAGAAAAGGGAGGTCCTCAGCACTGCATTCTTACAAATTTCTCTATATCCATCTTCACTTTCTTCCTTCCAGTATCAGGGTATAACAAGCCTGTCCCTCTAACCATGCCATGAGTCCCACCCTTACACTCTTCAAAAGCAGCAGCCAATCTCTTATATTTTGAAACTCTCCCTCCATACTGATTCCTTGCCCCTTTTTTATTTGGGGATTGGGTACAGAAACTAACCTTGACTCAGCTTCCTCCTCTTACTTTCTTATTCAGATATTTCTAAAGTATAGTCTGTATTCATTGTTCTCACTTCCTTTCCTCTCATTCATTTCTTAACCCCACGCAAACCTACCGATTCCATTCTCATAGATGTCCACCAATAACATCCATGCTGCCAAGTCCATTGTAAGTTTTGTTTTAATCGTGCCAAGTATTTAAATATATTTTGAATTGCCTGGAAGACTGCCTTATAAATGAATACCACTATCCTGAGTACCGTCTTACAAGATAAAAGTCCAAGCTCCCTAACAGGAGTGGAAACCCTTTCATGATCTCCCTGATCTCAGTTTACCTCATCAAGCTTGATCTCCCCACACAATCAGCTATTTTTCACCTGGGTGTCCTTGATCAAGCTGTCCCCTCTGTTGGAAAGGCCCTCTCCCCCAACCCTTCTATCACCTTTTTAAGAGAGAGAGAGAAAGAGCACAAGCAGGGGGAGAGGGGAGTGGGAGAGAGAGAATCTTAAACAGGCTCCACACTCAGCGCAGAGCCCTACACAGGGCTTGATCTCACAACCTGAGCCAAAAATCAAGACAGTCAGATGCTTAACCAAATGAACCACCCAGATGCTTCCTCCTGAGCCTTTTTACTTCACAAACTTCTACTTCCTCATAAATACTCAGATCAGACGTAATCTCCTCCAGGAGGCCTTTCCTGATATCCCCACCCCAATCTCACCCTGGCTGCCTGAGGAACCTCCTTTCGTTCTCCCACATTATTTTTTAAGTCCTGTTGTTGCACTTACCGTTCTGTCCTGTAACAGGCTGTTTATGTCTGTCTCACCAAATAGGCTCTACACTCCCTTAAGGCAGGAGCCATCTTCCACACCCACGTGACAGGAGGGAAGGAACCGCCATCGCATTTGCTCTTCTGCCCTCAAGAGGGATCCTCTTCAGACCCAGACAGGATGAGCACAGAATAGGGGGGAGCAAGGGGATAGCTCTTGTGGCTTTCTATCCCTTTTTTTCTCTTCCCATATTTCTGACTCCAACTTGGGTCCTTGTGTTGCCATAGTAACCAACAGTCCCAGAACACAGACCTCTGGCAGTTGGACTTCTAGTCACTGCAAGTCAGGATCTGAAGGATTTCTAACATCCCCAGTTTATGGCCCAGGAGCTGGCAGTGCCTTTTTCATGTGGGCAGCCACCAGAGCAGGACGTGACTGTGTTTGTGTGTGTGTGTGTGTGTGTGTGTGTGTGTGTGTGTGTGTATTTCTTCCACCCACACACACCTACTGGAGCATCACAGAAAAAGCTACACTAAAAAATGCCAACAGATGGTGGGAGGATGGGCATCTAAATGGCTATAACCTTTCTGGAAAGTAATTTGATACCAACTCCAATTTATCTGTGATCTTTGATCCATCAAAGCCACAGATATATATAGAGAGAGAGGGAGACACAAGGATTTATTGATAAGGGGGTTTACTCAAGACTTATTAAAAGAGTAACAACCACTTAATGGTCATCAATCAGAAAGTCATTAAAAATGACAAAATAGCCATATACAGGTTTACTGCAGAGTATGCCATAAAAGAGAGTGATCTCCAACAGCTGATGTGACACCCACACATATGCAGGTATGTGTATGTATATGTACAAATACACGGGTACACACATATGTACATATAAAGAAAAAGAAAAGGAAATCCACCAAAATCTTTCCAGGGATGGTTATCCATATCTCTGGACAGTAGGATCATAAGCGTATTTAATTTCATCTTCATACTTTTCTGTATTTTTCAAATTCTGAGCGATGATCATTTTTTCCTTTTGCAACGCAAGTTGTTTCAACTGCAGCAAGACAGATGACAAGCAGTAGCAGGTGGAGAGGATTAGCTGAGAGGCTTGTCACACAAAGAAAGGCATTTTTTCAAGGGAGGAGGGTGGCTTTTTTTGTCCTTCCTCAAAGAATACAAAAATTGGATGAACTTCTACCAGAATGGCATAGTAACAAGCAGAAAAAGGAATGAATAACATTACTGCTTAAATACTGTGACTTCCCTCTTCTCCGCAATCCCACCAAGTTTTTTCTTTCTTTTGAAGATTCCTGAGTTGAGGGAAACCTGAGAATGAGTCCCTGAACTCCATGGCACACTCAACCTGCAGCAGCGACCAATCGGACAGCACAGACTGCAGCTCACAATCAAACCTGAGCCTCTCTGTGGGTTATTTCCCCTCGGAGGACACCTTCTCCCACGAAAACACCATCTCCTGGGAAGACAAGTCTCCCAAGGGTCTTCCAATCCTTGTCCCTCCGATCCAAGGGACATGGAGGACAGAGAGTACAGGCAGACTCCTGAGAAGACAAGACCAGATTCGGGACAACCCAAAGCAGTTCTGCAAACTCAGCATCACCCTGGCCTGGGATGTTGATGTGGGCTCTAACAATTCAGGCTCCGTAGCTAGTTGGGACCTAACTGGAAGCAATCAGTGGATCAACAAGTATCCTGAAGAGAACAGACAACTGACTCTCAGTAAACTGGACAGTCTTGTACAAAAGCTTGAGACATTTCTAGAAAATCAGAAAGATGATGAAGATGATGACTCTGCATTCCCTGGATCTGCCCAGGAGGAAGATTCCCAGTTGTTTGGCAGCCCCCCTCTAGATATAGCTCAGGTCAGTCATCAAGAACATGATACTTGTCAGCACGTGTCCCATGCCTGCCAGCATGAAGGCATCATCCAGTTTCCACAGATTCCACCAAGACTTCGGGAACATGAACTTGCTGAGGTGAGCAGAGAGATGTCTCACAGGCAAAAAGGAGATGGACCTGGTTGGTGGTGGGGGGCAGTTTGAAATGATGCATGGAGCATTATTCCCTGCTCTAAACCAAGGTCAGCCTCCCTCAGTGTCTGACGTGGCAGGAGAGTGAGGGAGAAAGCAAGGAAAGGGGTCAGGGTGGAGCTGAAGGGAAAATACTGAGGAGCACTGAAGGAGAAGAGAGGATAGGGAAGTTAAGAAAAGTTATGATACTGCACCCGCCCCATGTGTGTTGAAGTATTAAAATTTTGCATTTACAGTTGGAATTTTTTTTTTAAGATTTTTAATTTATTTGACAGACAGAGATCACAAGTAGGCAGAGAGGAGGCAGAGAGAGAGAGAGCTGAGAGAGCTCTCTGCTGAGCAGAGAGCCCGATGCAGGGCTTGATCCCAGGACCCTGGGATCATGACCTAAGCAGAAGGCAGAGGCTTTAACCCACTGAGCCACCCAGGCACCCCTACAGGTGGATTATTTTTGATAGAATGATTTGAATTCTATAAGTGGTAAATATTAGCCAGATTGTTATCCAGGATTTGCATATTTAACTCCTTCATTTTCTTGGCAGATGATAAGCCAGACAACTGCCAGCCAAATGACAAGCACTATAGAGACCTCCTCAGTCTCATCAGGTCAGCCGGAGAAGGAGGACACTCATTCCAGGACACGGGCCCTCTCCTGTGTGAACTTCAGGTGGGTCTTCGGCTGGCTAAGGCAGCAAGTCCTCTCCTCACTTCTCAGGAGACCACACCGCAAGGAGGCCACTGAGAGCCCTCATAAGTTGGCACGAAAAAAAAGACTCTCTCACAGAAGCAAGAGAATCCAACCTCAAGATTCCCTCGAATTAGAACACCCTCTATCGCCAGATTTTTTAACCTTTTGATAGCCCCCATTCTACAATCCCCATGAGTTAATTGTTTTCTAATAAATATAACACTCTTATCTAGTCATGTCTTCCTCTTCCAGCCCACCATCTTGACTCGGGCTGAAAGTCTGTATGTTGTCTGGAAGTCTGAAATACATTCTCTGCGAATTTTAAGTAGTATTAGCCTTCCTAATTTAAAAGCATTCTTGCTCTCCTCCTCCTCCCTTCTTACTGTATTTTACTCTATTTTTATACATTTTTATCTTAATATTAACCCAAATGCCCATTTTCAGAAGGCAGTAGTATAACCCAACAGATTCCCAAGATGGTAGTGTGGTTTTGGTTGAACTTCTATGGCTCGAACAAGTGGCTGAGATACTGAGTCACTCAGGAAGCAGATTTCAGTTGGCAGTGTTTCAGGAGTTCAGACGGTAGATCCGATGTTCCCAGGAGACTTGACTGGTTCTAGTGTGTGCTGCATTGGCTAGAATGAGTGGCTCACTCCGGAGGAATGTGAGGACTGGGAATGCTACTTAACCACTCCAAGTTTAACCCTCCTCATTCAGAAGACGGGGAAGATAATAATATGAACCTCACAGGATTGCTGGAGAACGAATGAGATAATGATAATTTCATTGTTGCTGCTGCTATGGCTTCTCCAGAGGATCTCCCCAGAAAACCAGATCCAAGGGACATCCCAAAGGGAGAGTTTAAGAGTAATTCACATTAAAGTATTTCCCACACAGAAGCAATATTTACCCAAAGTTACAGGTTTCTGCAGATCTTGACTCAAGCAAGTCCTCTCCCAGTCCGTTCCCCACTGTGTCTTCTGAAATTCCTTTACAAATGGCAAACTTCCCTCTAAATTTCAGCTTCTTTAAGGAAGACTGTACTCACCTCTCACCCTTTTGCCCTGACCTCTCCCTCTTACTGATATCAACTCCCCTCCCCACGACCACTACCATCCTCCTTAACCACCCACAGGCTTACCCAAGAGCCTTCCTTCAGCTTTTGACCTGCAGAGTTCAGGTGCCTAAAGCATCGGAGTCTTTGGTCTCAAATTCCTCTCTTTCCTCAACTTTAATTCCCTTTTCTCCTTTCTTCTTCTCTTTCTTCCTTCCTTCCACAAATATTTAGCACAAAGAAGTTCCAGATACTCTTCTAAATGACAAAAACAGACACTCAATCCTTGGGGCTCAGGTGGCTCATTGATCAAGAGAGAAAGCCATGTAAACATAACGACCAGAACAGCTTACAGGTGATAACAGTTTGTATGAGGTACACACTGATTACTAAAAAATAATTCAACATGAGGAGGTGAATTGTTAAAAGTTTCATGTCTGAGGTTGCTTGAGTTAGATTAAGGTGGAGGACTTGAAGCTGCTGGATAAACTGGTGTGGCGTTAAGTGTGCAGTCCTGACTGGTTACATGTGAGAGACAGTGGGGACGATATTGCCCGAAGAATGACAGACAGTACGATGGGATGGAAGACATCAAACAACAGGGCTTTCTTAGCAATACACTCATGGTCACGTCCTGAGCTTCTTCAAAGGCAGACTCCTCACTTTATCCAACTCTCTGAGAGCATTTCCCTTTGACTGGCTCCCTCCAACGCCCTCCCCCACCTTCACTTCTCTTTGACTTCGCACGTACTTTGAGTCCCATTACCACACCTGTTCAGGAGTTTTGGTCCCTTCTTTCCAGATCCAGCCCAGGCCCCTCCTTCCCCAACTGCACCGTAGCCACCACATCTAGTAGCAATCACAAAGCCTTGCCCTTTCCAGAGCTTCTTTCAATCCATACTCACCACATTCTGCAAAGGAGACTTGTGTTTTTCCTAAGGGCCAACACACAAAACACAGGAATTACTTTCTCCATTCCTGAAGAATTCCCCCCACTGCCTTTTCAAGTCCTCCCACTGCCTGGGGAATTCGTCCTTAAAGACTCCAAACTCTCGAGTTACTATGAGGCCAAGAATGATCCTTCTGGCTTAATTTGACCACATCCTTCCAAGCCGTCCCCCAGGCCCCCATCCTGCCACCCCCCACCTCCCCTGTGACTTGTACTTTTCAGCTCTCTTTACATAACTACTTTACCTACGGACTAACTTTTAGTTCCTTTTTATCAGAGGATCCTAACGCAGTGTCTGGTACAGAGCAGTCTGTCTCTATAAAACTTTTAAAATGATTTGAATATATCTTATTTCTTTCAACATTTTCCTATATAGTGTTTTTGTTTTTGTTTTTTTTTAAGTGAAATACAACAGCTTAGAGTTGCTATTCTTTAAGTTAAAAGTTAGGGCGAACAGAGTTAAGAGCAGGTACGGGGATGGAAAGGGCATAGACAGGAAGTGAACAGAAATCCATGGAAGGTCAAGAGAGGTGGTGACCCACAGAATGAGAAACCTAACACCAGGGGAGGTTAGGGACTAATCTGGAATGTCCATTCAACAAATATACAAGGAGCCTTAGTGTTGCTTTAGGCTAAAAGGATGATCTGTCTAAAAGATGACATCTCCTACTTTCACGGCATTAGTAACCAGAACTCTGTTATTTTAACTCTTTCTCTAGTAATTAAGTCAAGCTCTAAGAAAAACTCAACTGAAATGAGCTATTTGGAAAGACTGCCCCCGGTTAATTAGACGCCCTGTTCATTAGCAAGATCGCTTACATATTTGTGCTCACTTTTCAGTGTTATATAAACCTGCTTGACAGGTATGAGGTTTATCTCTAAAATTCAAACAATGTATTTTACAAGCCTATACAACAAATGTTCTTTGTAAGAATTAGAATTTGAAATATTCATTGGGGTTATCATGCTACATCTCAGAAAGCAAGTCAAAGTGCTTAAGAACAGGAAATTTTTCAATATCTCCTCATTCATTATGGTGTCAAATATGCTATGAGGCTATTAGCCACATGCTAAACTACAACCAGGTTCTCCACTTTTTGTCTCACACATGGGGCTGCGGTTAGAGGAGGCCCATTATACATCAAAAGGACTGAGAGCAAAATGGAAGTGGTCCCTGGAAGGTCCTACCTTTGCTGTGACCTTAAGCTTCGAATGACTGCACTTGCCAGAACTAAGACTTGCCGATTTAACCAAAACATTTTGGGATTCCCATTATCTTAATATCCAAAACTAAAACAACTCCTTCAAGTGAACTGCTCAACCTTGAAACCCACAAAGCTCAGCTAGTTGCACTAGACAAGTGTTACCTTAGATACTCATATTCTAGAATCAATAATGTCATAATGAGCCAGAATGCGGTGAAAACTTACCAAGCATACATAGAGAGCATTCCGCTTTCTCCACACACAGGAGAGACTAACGCAAATTTTATTGCCCACCCCATGTCAATTTCTTACTCAGTAGGATCCCAATGAGAGAAAAAAGTATGTGCGCCGTACCAGCAAAACAAAATCATTTTCTTCAGACTTAACATAATGTTGAAATTTCATAGCTCCAGAGGATACACAGGTCTAGGTCTACCTAGTTACAAAAACAGCCTCCGAAATCCTCTTATCAAACAACGAAAGGAAAAATGAAACAAATTATAAATGAATTCCTAAGAACGCCTGGTAGGGTTTTTACCCCAAGAGTTAAGAATGGTTTTGTTTTGGCAGGAAGGATAGCGAAGTGCCTCAAAAATAAGTCTTTGCATCATGAGTTGCAAGTGGAAGAAGGTCTACGGCAAGCAATGTACTCTCTAATTGCAAGATGCATGAGTAGGCTTTATACTGCATCGCCAGGAGTCAAGCTTTTCCCCCCGACCCCCTCACCCCCTCATCCCCCAACAAAGAGAACAACACCCTGCTTTCAAAAGTGAAATGAGATCCTCATCAGATAACACGGAATCACTGAGTGAGCCAGTCATGGGTCGGGTGGGTACAAAAGCCTTAAGATAAATTCCCAAAAGGATTATAAACCTAGACCAAGAAATCCCCCTACCAAACAATTTGTTTACTATTCCACCGTTCAAAGGAATTCCACAGTCTTGATGCCCTTTGGATTTCAGTAGAATATGCTTCCCAAAGAAATATTTCTGAGGCCTTTTCAAATGGGAGGGCACACATTCAGACTGTGGCTGTTTAATGAAAATTCCTCTCATTATTACTGAATTCTCTTGGTCTAGAAGAAAATCAGAATGGTGATTTAACTTCATTTGTCCTCATCTGTGTCGATGAAGATTTATTATTTTAAGTGCAAATCTCCCTCTCCTCATAGAACTTCCCCATGCACCCACTCACAAAGGTAAACACCAGACAAGTTCATTGTCAATACAGGCTTGGAGAGTTGTTTCCATGTTTCCCTTTCATCACCTCAACAGCCCTCTGTCTTTGGGGCCTAGATTTCTCCCCAAACAGGCATGACGATGAAAAGGAGAATTCTTCGCCAGTAAAGTGACCACAAATTCAGTTAGCACCCTATCACAACCACCACCATAACCACAGACGCACATAAGAATCCAAAAAGAATGCTAACCCACTTGCTGTGAAGAGCTCAAGGGTTATACGGAAGCGCTAAATCACTACACTGTACACCTGAAACTCATATTCCACTGTATGTTAACTAGAATCTAAATAACAACTTAAAAAAATTGAATGCCAAAACCATTGGGTGAATGGCTGTTAGGGAACAAGACATGCACATGGTCTCGGGGAACTACCCAGCAGACTACTCATTAGTTATCAGGGGGATTAGGTACCTTCACAATGGAGAGAACTGGTGAACGCCAGCTTAACCAAACGATTTGATTCAGCCTAACCAACATTACGTATCTTCTGTTGCTACCACTGTTGTGTTTACCCTGAATTGGATCATGAGGAATCCAACAGTCAAATGAATCCAGAATATAAGAAATTCTTCTAGACAATTCTAGACAACCACCTTAGACTTTTCAAAATTTAACACCATGAAATACCAAATAGAAGAGAACAAAAAAGTCAGGGAGAACAGACAATTCACAAAGGAGACCAAAGAGACATGATGACCAATTGCTATTCATAATCCTTCACTGAGTCATTCACCAAATTCTCAAAACGATGATAAAAAAAATTTCTTAATAGATAGACAAATATGAATATGGACTGTATCTTAGGTCATTATATCTATATCTTATATCTGTATCTTAGGTTATTATAATAATATTACTATTATCTTA